AGTAGTAGTAGTAGTAGTAGTAGTAGTAGTAGTAGTAGTAGTAGTAGTAGTAGTAGTAGTAGTAGTAGTAGTAGTGGTAGTAGTAGTAGTAGTAGTAGTAGTAGTAGTAGTGGTAGTAGTAGTAGTGGTAAGGGAAGCGAAATGAGATATGTGAGGAGGGAAGGGGGAAGGATGACGTGTTGGATGTGGAGGGTGAGGAGAAGGCGGAGGAGGAGGAGGAGGAGGCGTAGGAGATGGTGGGGGAGGACGTGGTTATACATGATCGTGAGGCGTGAAGTGGAAGAGGGTGATGATGATGATGGTGATGATGAGGATGAGGATGAGGATGAGGATGAGGATGATGATGATGATGCTGATGATGATGCTGATGATGATGATGATGTTGTTGATGATGATGATGATGATGATGATGATGATGATGATGATGATGATGATGATGATGATGATGATGATGATGATGATGATAAGGAGGAGGAACACGAAGTTTCGAAGCCATTGCCCCGAGGCCGGCTACAAGCTGTGGAGCTTCCAGGGGCGGGTCTTATTCCAGCAGCAGAAGGAGAAGTTGTGGCACATTGCGTGGAGGCAGCGCCTCCTGATCATCATTACCATCAGAGGATGTGGTGGTTCTGGTGAAGAGTCGGGAAAGGGGGATGGACAAGGGGATTACCTTGAGTTAGGTAAGAAGAAGGAGCAGGTGGTGGGATGGAAGGACGGAGGCATATGTGGTGGTGGTGATGAGTAGGAGGATGAGGAGGAGGGAGCTCCCCCTGAGGCTCCAGGAGGAGGAGCCCCCTTCTGCTTCTGAGGCATCGGGAGCTCCCTCTCCCACCCCATCTCTGGGGGTTGGGTGCGCGCGCGTGTGCGGATGTGTGTGTGTGTGTGTGCGTGTGCGCGCATGGCGTTGCACGACGGCGCACGTTTTGCGTGCGGCCTCGGCTGCCGCCGCCCCGCCGTGCGTGCGTTCGTGCGCTCCGTCCGTGCGTTCGGGCCCACTTCGTCCTCTGTTGCCCCCCCCCGTTGCGTCTCTCCCCCCGCCCCGCCCGTCGGTGCCGTGACCAGCCCTTTCTCGGAATAGCCCCCCCCCCCCCCCTGGCGAGCCAGACGGCGCCGCTGGGCGGGGGCAATGGCTGCGTCGATCGACGGTCCCACAGCCACCAGCGTCAGCGACAGGGAAAGGAGGATCATGAGGAGGACGATCCTACTCGGGGGGGAGGAGGAACAAGGAGCTTGAGGGAGTCGGGAGGAGGAGGAGGCAGAAGGAGCAGGATGACGAGAAAGACGAGGTGAAGGAGGAGGAGGCGGCGGTGGAGGGGATGGAGGAGCAGTGAAGGCTCGAGGAGGACCAGCAGGAAACGCGGGGAGACGGAGGTGAGGTGGCGTGGAGGAAGAGCATGAGGAGAATCCGCTCCGCAGGCCCCACCCGCCGACGCTCCTGCCCGCCAGCAAGCAGAACGAGGTCCGTGAGATCCCGCGCCCTCGTGGGAGGGGGGGCACGTGGGACACCTGGGTGCGGAAGGGACGTGGTCGGGGAGGGGGGGATCCCCGCGCCATCGGCAGGCACACGCCGAGCTTGCTTGTCACGTTTTGGCGTTTTCCGGCGCCGAGGGTCGCCGTCGTCGTCGTCATCGTCGTCGTCGTCGTCGGCGGCGTCTTCGTCGTCTTTTTTTGCTTTCGTATTTTCCCCCCTCGCAGTCTCTTGCCTCCCCGAATGGGACCATGATGACTACGATGACTAGGATGACTATGATAGCTACGATGACTACGATGATGAGGATGACGACGGGGAGGACAGTGATGCTGATGATGATGATGATGATGATGATGATGCTGATGATGATGATGATGCTGATGATGATGATGATGATGATGATGATGATGATGGTGTTGATGCTGTTGTTGACGATGATGGCGACCATTGTGCTGGTGATGGTTTTCGTCATTGTGGTAGTGATGATAATGTTGGTGGAGGTGGTGGTGTTGGTGGTGATCTTTGTGATGACGCGGAATGGTGATGCGGTGCGCCGCACGTGATTCGCCACTTCTCGGGGCTCGATGCTGACCTCGAATCGTTCGCACAGAGATCGGTTCCGCGCGGGGCCAGGCCACCGCGCAAAGGTCAGAACCAGGGAATCTCCGCCGCTGGCTGGTTTACAGAGCCTGGTCGCACATGAACTACACCGCGCCTGCCGATCGTGGACTTTTTCGCCGCGCGGGTGTCGGTCGCGCCGCTGCCGCGCCGCCGTGGCCGATTGGCGACCGCGACCTGGCCTCAGCATCGCCGCCCCACACTAGCGGTCCGCGGCTGGCAAAGCGTCGGCCCCTTCTTGGTGGGGCGCTAGCCGCCCTTGAGCTGCCCCAGGGCGCCTGCTCGGCGGCCTCTGCTGCGCAGTGGCACTTCTTCGCGCTGCTCCGCCACTCTGTCGCCGCAGCGCAGTTCCCGCACGCGGCGCAGTATCCGATGCCACCCGACTGACACGGCCTGTGGGTCGCGTTCAGCGGCGGCGCGCTGCCCCAGCCTGGCCGCGCGCCCCTCGGCGGGCTGCGATGCCGCCGCTGCTGCGCCACCGTCGCCACTGTGCGCCGCATAGTTCGGCGCCGCGGCGGCGTCCTCTCTTCTCCTGGGCTTTTGCCGCCGTCGTCTTTGCGCCAGCCACAGCCTATGTTGCAGCCAGGGGTGAGCACCGTCCGACGTATCCTGGCCTGGCCTGGGTGCCCGCGAGCTTGTGCGCCCAGCCGGGGCCGCCGCCTTTGCCCTTCCTTCCAGGCGTCTGCGAGCAAGGGCGCCAAGGCGCAGCCGCACCCTGCGGGGCCCCATAGCCGGGACGGCTGGCCGCAGCCGCCCTGGCCCTGCCCCCCTCTCCCACTCCCTCCCTCTCCCTCTGGTGGTATGTGTGCGTGTGTGCGTGTGTGTGTGTGTGTGTGTGTGTGTGTGTGTGTGCGTTGGGTGTTGGGTGTTGGTGGGGTGGGTGGGTGGGCAAAACGAAAGAACAACAAACTTGTCGCCCCCATTCAGTATTTTGTTTGTTCCCCCCGCCTCCCCCCAACACCGCGCCAACACCGCGCCACCACCGCCACTGGACTGGGGCTGCGGGGGCATTCTACAGCATTCTGGCCCCTCGAACCCCTCCCCTAGGCGCCACCACGGGCGGCATGGTGGGCAACCTTCCAGGGTCTCTCCCTCTCCCTTCTCTCTCGCTCACCTCCCGTCCTCTCTCGCTCTCTCTCGCTCTCTCTCGCTCTCTCTCTCGCTCTCTCTCGCTCTCTCTCGCTCTCTCTCTCTCTCTCTCCCTCCCCATACCCTCTCGCTCTCACTCTCTCTCTATCTCCCAGACCGCAAACTTCACAATCCCACCTTCTTCTTTTTCGAGGGCTTTGTTAAGGAGTGGGTTGTTTTCCCTCGTCGACCTCTTGTCGAAAGCTCGCTGAGCGCTCGCCGAGTACTCGGTAACAGCCAGAGGGCTTGGAGAAGGAGGTATTCCATGACGAAAAGGTATCCTGAAGGAAACTTATCCTGAAAGTCTTTCCCTTTTTCGTGCTCTCAGGGCCCTCCCTGGACCCCACTGGCTGCCAAGAGCCAACTCAGGCTGATGCTGGGGAAAGACCACGGGTCCAGGGGTCCAGGACGCGTTTCCAACAGGACTCCTTTCCCTTATGTCAAAGCGTTCGGCGGTGTTTCGGCACTTTCCTGTTGTGTGGTGTCAGCAGTATTTACGGTCGATCGCTGTCGCCCATGAGACGTTCGTCGATCGTTCGTCGAACGTTTTCCGGACCTTCGTTTGCAGGTTATTCTGTTATTCAGAGTTTTCGGTCGTTTTTGGAGGGTTGCCAAGGAGGTGTCCAGATGTCGCTTGACGGGAGGCCCGATCTCTGGAGCCTTCTGGGGAGATGGGAGGAGGGGTGGAGGGAGGATGAACGCCGATTGAATTATTTCGCATTCGATGTGGTATCTGCCCCTCCAGTGCGGCAGATGCTTCCATTGTGGTTTCGTTACTATCTTGGTTTGAAGGGAGGGATGATCAGATCTCGACGAGACATCCGACGAGAGCTTCACAGTGGCGCTCAGTATATGCCTTTGGGAGCTTGTTCGACAACATGAGAATGGATGCGCGTCAAACCCCTGCCCCTCCCTACCTCCCTTCACCCTTCCTCTCTCCTCTCTTTCCTCCTCCCCCCTCCTGCCTCCTCCCTTCTGTGTTTTTTTTGTTTTCCGTTTCTGCGCAATTGCCCATTATCCATGCGTCCAGCGTGATTTCGTCTCATTATGTAAGATCGCGCATGTGCGCCGCATGCTTACTTGCATACATGTTTTCGCCTGTGTGTGCATGCTCGCGCGGCAGACGTGCAGCAAATCAGTGCGGTTGTGCACGTATGACTGCGCGCACGCGACGCATCATTCACATGTGCATTTGCCTTCTCCGACAAGGTCCGGAAGAACATAAAGCAGTACTCCAAGAAGTACGACGCCCTCGACGAACAAGCAAAGGAGACTGCACGAAATGCATTCCGCGAGGAGCGCGAAAAGAAGATGAAGGCGTTCACCGAGGTCATCGGCTTTTGAATGAAGCGTAAGTTGCCCTTGTCCTGCCTATCGATTCGGCCCCCGGCCTTGTGTACTTTTTCTGAGTTCTCGTCGATCGGCAAGCCAGGCATGGTGTCTCCGATGCGAAAGTAAAACCAATGTATCATGAGCGTTTCGAAGCAGCCGCAGCATAAACCGAGATCAATCATTCCATGCTTTTGTCAAGTAAGCGCTGGTTCCCAATTTTACCGATGTCTGGTCGAGTATGCATCCAGCGCCGAATCGTGGTGGCAGACTGGGCATGTAGCGGCTCGGGCTACGAGAGACCATCGCTACACCCCCCGATCATCCCCGAGACGTCTGGGCGTCGCGAAATTGATTGCAATCCGTACTCCCCCCCTGGATCATACATCATCAAATAACTGCCCGCGACGGAAACAATCAGACCCGGGGATGGGGTCCACGCCGTGAGACAAGCACGACGTCGGAGGTCTGCGTCCTCTTCTCCCAGTGTGTTTTTGCACTGTGCACGTGCTTCTTACCACTTCACGGACGTTGCCGCCATTTCAGTGAGACTGTGTTGACGAGGATGTGGCTGAGACATTGGCACTGCATACCGACAGGGCAGGAGCTTGAGAGCAGTATGCGAGTTGAGAGCCCCTCCGCCATGGCCCCTCGTCTCTCGCGGGGGAGGAGTGGTGGGAAACAAAGCTCCTGACACTTCTTCTGCACGTTGCGCTTTAGCATACCTGTTATAGTTGGCCTAGGCGGACCAGACGCCATACCGCCGACATCCTGATTTATTTCATGCGCAGAGCTCTGGAGCTCCCGCCCCCAACGTTTGTACGGATTTTGCGTCGTGGGCTGCTTTTGTGGGCCGTGGGAGAGGCTCACCCCCAGAACATTTAGCTATTCGGATGTTTTAGGGCGCTGGATGTCTGACGGCCCAGTCTGGGCCTCCGCATTCGCCAGTCATTACACGGTTCGATTTCTCAGATGGCAAGATTTGGTTGGCGCGATGTCCTCGAGTCTCCAGATCTGTGTCCTCCCCCTCCTCCCGAAGCTCGCTTCCCTGGGCGGTCCAGGCCTCTCCTGGGGTTAGTTTTGACGATGCTTTCCAGGTGAATCCAGCCGTGGCGACGAAGCCCCTCCGAGAGATTCATACAGCCAGGGCGCTGAAACGAGCACCGCTCTGCGTTCAAAAGGTGATCGCGGTTGCTCAGGTCATTCCGTGATTGTTCTTCCAAGCCCTCTTCGTGTACCCAGGCGCTTTTGGTGCCAAAGGGGGTTGTCGTTACTGGTTTAGCGTTCCTTGTTGCAGCAGCTTGACTGCACAGGCCCAACAGCGCTCCAAAACCTTGATCCCCAAACCTAGTTCCTCGAGCCTCGAGGACTCTGGGGCGGAGGATTGGATTGATGGTCTCATCAAGGCGCTCCGAGTCTGCAATTGCCCTCGGCGGCGCGAACCGAAGACCGAGGATTGAGGAAGGCTTTATTGTTGCCCCTCCTCGTTGTGCCTCGGGGGGCTTCCTCGTGGCTACGGCTCCAGGCAGCTCGAACAACTGGCCATGACTTATCCCATGCAGATCCAGGGAACGGTCTGTCTTGAGTGGGATTTGGCCGGGGGCAGGGGGGGAGGCGGCCTTCTAAGGAGGCAGAGGGCTCGTGAGAAGACCTGCAGTCTTGGTACCATGCCTTCTTAGAAGCATCCGATCCTTTTAAGACCCTCCTGCCCCCTTACTCCCTGCCAGTTCAGTACTTCCCCAGCCATCCGACGACGTGTTCTTTTCCTCGACGTGGGCCCTGGAGTTTTCGACCGCATCCCGCGGGTAATCCGTAGCCTGGGGGCATACATCGGCCCATTCATCCGACATCGAGAAAGAACCTGTGCGCTTTCGGATTCGATACTAAGGCTCATCAAGATCAGGCCCCGGGACTCGATCTCGACTCTACCCCTTCCCCCTCCCCATCATCTCGGGAGTGCACGATGGGTCTCGGCGATACGGTCAAAACGTTGGAACCAGGGGGGCCGCTTCGGTTTCGTAAGGGGCTCAGAGTTCGCTCGAACTCACGAGCTCGATAAAGCCACTTCTACAGGCAATCTACCGCAGCCTGCCGCCGCGCGTGTTGCATCCCACGCGAGAGGTCTGGTCACACGTACAGGGCACATCCAAATGGCCGCAAGGCTGAGGCTGTCGTCGCAAGGCTCAGAGTTCCTTGGGCATTTCCCGTGCTTTTTATTCGGCTGCCTCTTGCAAGTCTGGTCGCAACTGGGGTCCCCAGGGTGCTGTGCTCCCTGTTCAGTTTCCGCATGGCAAGGCTTCGATTGTTTATGGCCAGAGGGCATGCGTAGAGCTCAAAGGAGCAGAGCGCACCTGGGCAAGCCTGTGGCGGAAGATTACCTGGTGTGGCTGATTCAACGCACCGTTGGCCCGCTGGGTGAACGGTTGAAGCTTCTGAGAAGTTTGCGCCCCCAGGTGATCATCAGGGCAGGGTGTCATGAGAAGGTATCGGGTTGTCCCTCACGATTCTCTGAGGCATCTGGACCTCCATTCCGTTGAGCATCCCGACTGTGATTTTATACGATGAAACCATGCAGATTCGTCAGATTTTGAGGAGTTCATCCCTTAAGGGGCTCCAGAGTTCATCCTAACCCGCATCACATGCTTCACGCAGCGCACTTCTACAAATGATAGCAGTGTGTCCTTCTTCGCATAGTTGCGCTGCTTTTAGTTGGTGATGCCACGGGGGAAGGGAGGGGAGACGGGAGGGAAGAGGGAGGGTGATGGGCAGGGGAGGTGAGAGAGACAGGGCAGGGAGTGTCCAGCTTCACATCTTCTCATCTCCGCCCCAGCCTCTTCATCCCTGTTGCGTCTCCTTTGTCCTCTGTGCTTCGTCGTCTTCCTCCTCCTCCTCCTCCTCCTCCTCCTCCTCCTCCCTCCTCCTCCTCCTTCCTTCCTCTTTGTGCCGTCCTCTTTCCCCCGGTCCTCCTCCTTTCTTCCTCCCTCTCTCCTCGCTCCCCCTCTAGGCCTCGTAGATGGGGTCCGAGTAGATAGGGTCGGAGGATCGCGCTGCATCGCCGATGCACGGCTCGATGTGGAGCCTGATTTGCTTCACGTCGACGTCGCCGATGCGTCGCCCGCGTCGACGATGCATCGCTGGTGCATCGCCGATGCATCGCCGATGTATCGCTGATGCGGCGCGATCCTCCGACCCCATCTGCCCCAAGCCCCTTTAGGAGGCCCTCTGCCCCCTGCCCCCCCCCCCCCCCTCTCCCCTCCCCCCTTTGTCCCTCCCGTCCTATCTCGCTCCTCTTTCTTCTCGCTCCTCTTCCGGGCTCCTCCTTTGGCTCCTCCTTTGGTTTCTGCTTCATTTGGCTTGCTCCTCGTCCTGGCTCCTCTTGGCTCTTCCTCGTTCCTCCTCCTCCCCCCTCTTGTTCCCCCCAAACTCCCCTCTTCGTCCCAGTTCGATCCTGGCCATGCCCCTTACCCATTCCTCCGTTGTGGTCCTCCCGGCCCGAACAGGTCCTCGACAGGCTACAGGAGTGGAAGTTGGACAAGGAGGACGAGAATGATTGGGCGGACGCGGTGAATGCATACCTGGAGAGCCAAGGCACCTCCAGTGGACCTCTTCTTCCGCTTCAAGGGGGAGGAGGGGGAGGAGGGATCAGTCAGGAGGGATGCTCAGGCGAGTTCAGGGCGATCCAGGGCGTGCTGCAAGACTTCCTGGGATTCTCCTCCTTTCTCCTCCTACCTCCTCCCTTCCTCTCTTGGCCCCTCCCCTCTCCTCTCTACCTCTTATTCTTCCCTCCTTTCCCTCCCTCGTCCCTTCTCGTCCTGCAGTCGCCGTCCTGGTTCGGGCTTTAGGGTGCAACCACCGGGTGGTTGCGAAGCCTTTCGGGAACGCGACCGATCGCGCCGACCCGCACGTCGTACGCGTTGGGACGGCCGTGCCAGCACCAGGCATCCGTCACCACGCCTTCTCGCCCCAGCGAGCCCGCGTGGCACAGGAGACTGCGTACCAAACGAGGCACAGCACGCACTTTCCCCAGGATCCATCGCCAAAAGCGTTTCACGACAGCATCATTTGAGGGAGCTTGTCTTGTGAACTCACGTCATCCTGACCCCCGGCGCGCGAGCAAATGGGCCCGCTAACCGCCCCCCCGGGACATTTCCGTTGCTGCGCCGGATGCGCCGGGCGTGTCCCGTTTTGGCTCTCTCGCTCGAGACATCCTCGCACAATCGCCCCCCCCCCCAGTGGGGAGAGCGGGGGGGAGGGGGGGAAAGGGGGGGGCGGGGGGGAGGGCGGGGGTTGAAGGGGGGGAAGGGGAGGGGGCAGGCGGGGGGGATGGGGGAGGGGAGGGGGGCAAGCTAGGTGCGCTCGCGTCAGATCTGACATCCTACCCCTCCCTCCCATCTCTTACCATGGCGTAGATCCCCTCTCTACTCGCACAGTCGGATGTCGAGCAGGGCAATGATCCCGAAAGGCTACGCGATGCATTGTAGAGCACGGCATGGCATGGCGTAGAAGAGCACCGCAAAGCGTAGTATGTGACAGCATGGCGTGGCGTGGCGTAGTGAAGAATTGCATCTGAAGAATTGCATCACAAAGCTTTGCAACGCAAAGCATGGCATCGCACAGCGGCCCCGAACATAACATTGCATAGCTTGCGTTGAAGATCAAAGCGTAGCAGGGCATAGCACGACGTGGCACTTAAGCACTGCATGCCACAGCTTCAGCTGAAGGCATGGCATCGCGCAGCGGAACGCAACCTAGTATTGCATTGCATGCCGTGGCATGGCACGGGAAATGACGCCAGCGCTGCAGCGGGAGCACGATTCGGAACGAGCGGAGGCGCGGAAATGAGGCCAGCGCTGCAGCGGGAGTACGATTCGGAACGAGCAGAAGCACGGAAATGAGGCCAGCGCTGCAGCGGGAGCACGATTCGGAACGAGCGGGGCCCGAAAATGAGGCCGGCGCCTCAGCGAGAGCAGCATTTTGAAAAAAATGCAGGCGAAAACCCAACTCCGGGGAATCCTGTGTGTAAAAAAACTGTACGCGGGGGGGGGGAGGGGGCGAACACTCCCAACCCGTCATCAGGGGAAGGAGGAGAGTAGTATTCATATTGAGTAATTGTGAAGGGGGGGGGACGTGGGAGGAGGGGGAGGGGAGGGTGGAGGAAGGGAGAGCGGGACACATAAGCGCAATATATGTGCACAAACTCCCGATCAACCGCAGAGCGGCTACTACTCGTAGCTCAATGGCACGTCCACGAGCCCGCGGAGCATCGACAGATCGGCAGCCACGCTTTCGGGAGTGCACACTACGTCATCGGACCAACATCATCACACGCTCGACGTGTCGATTCTGTTCGCCAGCGTATAGCCAAGCCCGTACCCCATCGACACCAGTGGAGGAGGTTGAAGAAGGGAGACCTTGGCGAATACAGCCTACTACGGGCAAGCCCAGGTGGCGGCAACCGACGTGGCAGTAGTGGGAGTCCTCACCCAAACCAGCAGGACGTGCACGTTCCGCACACGCGGCGGCCAGGACCAATGCGCCGCCATTGCTTCGACCATCTACAGAAAAGGCAGAGAAACACTGACTCTGGCTACCCCTCCCGCATTTGTCAAAGGAGATCGCAGCTCACAGGGAGCAGCTGACGATCAGCCTCGACGCGCTGGAACGCCAGATCGCCAGTGCCCAAGAGATGGGGCATCACGCACCAGGATCATGGAGTTCGAACGTGACTACTCGGTCACTCTCTACATGGTCATGTTCGCACGCGACGGCAAATCGCGCACCAAGCAGCAGTCGTACTCTGTCGACCGCATCCGCAAGAGGCTCAGCGACGCCCAGAATCAGAAAGCTGAGGACGAGTGCGCCGCAGCCTTGCAGCGCGCACATGCGCACGCGCAGGCCCTCTTCGAGGACGTGCAAGAGCTAGAGACCCGACTCCTGCGACACTTCGAGGAGCTCGAGGAGGCCGAGCAGGAGAGGATAACGACAAGGGCGGTGATGCTCGCATGGCTGACAGCGGCGTCTCCTTCCGCCATGGCCAGGCATCAACAGACGGTGAAGCAGCGTCAGCCACGCCGACGGCAGGAGCGGAGAACAACCCGATCGCCGCCATCGCCGCCCTGCAGAGGCCAACAGCACGCAGATGGCAGCTAACATCGCATCGCTTGCCGGCGTCGTGTCGGCCATCCAGAAGCGGCTCGCACTAGTAGTGCCAAACGCAGCCCCCGCGGCTGCAGCAGCAGCAGCAGCAGCAGCAGCAGCAGCAGCAGCAGCAGCAGCGGCGGCAGCAGCAGCAGCGGCGGCCACGGTGGACGCCGCGATGGCCCCGGCGCCTGCCGAGGCGCCGCCTGCCTCCGTCGCCGTAGGGGCAACGGCAGACGCCGCTGCAGTGGGCAGCTGCCGCCGCAGCAGAGCCAGCCGCAGTTCCAGCCGCCGCAGCGCAGCAGCCACTGCCACGGCCACCAGTTCCAGCAGAAGTATCGAGTAGCGCCGTTGGCGCCGCCAAAGAGCCAGCCGAAAAGGTAAACGGAAGAAGGCCCAGGTGGCAGCAGGCTCCAGACCAGCAGCCAGGTCGGGCCGAGCCAGTCGCGCAGCACGTGCAGTTGGCACCAAAGGCGTCCTGTAGGCAGCCTTCGACAAGGCCAGGATCGTGAGCGGGACCGCCGAGCCAGTCCCAGACCCCGACGGAGAGGCCGACGGCGAGGACGACGAGGGCGGCCAAACTCAATCACCTGGAGCTCCCAGCCTTCGAGGTGCAAGGGGAGACGGCGGAGACGGCGACATCAGTTATTGACGAACAGCCGACGTGGATTCAGTTTCATAGTCCACGGGAGTTCAAAACGATGTCGAACCACCGCCAACCCGCGTCCTGGACCCAGGCACCAACGACCCCATCCGCGGCCTGATCAGGGTCCTCTTCCTCCCCTGAGGCCCACCACGGACCTTCTCCTGGAGCATTGGAAGATCCCTCGCTGTGTTGACGCGCTACCATGTGCAAATTTTTGGCGCTCTGCTACAGTTGCAGGCCAGGCCTTGGGCCCGACCCGGGTCTCCCACCTAGAGCTTTTTTTTGTTTGGGCGATAACGCTCGTGACCGCCCCCGCCCGCACCCGATCACGTCACGCTGTTTTCCCCTCATGTCTCAAGGAATCTTCCATGGTTTCCAGAGAATCTCAAGGGTTTCTATTCGTCGTCGTCGCTGTTGTCCGCGACCAGGAGGTGGAGGAGGAGGGGGAGGAGGAGGAGGAGGAGGAGGAGGAGGAGGAGGAGGAGGATGAGGATGAGGATGAGGATGAGGATGAGGATGAGGATGAGGATGAGGAGGAGGAGGAGGAGGAGGAGGAGGAGGAGGAAACCAGATGGTTTCGAGGGCCCGTTCGAAGGATTTGTTTAGGGGATGTCTCGAACGAAACGCTGATTCTTAAACGAAAGTGTTAAACACCCATCTTTTTTTCAATCATTTCGCTTCTTGGGTCATCTTGGAGGTCATTCAGGATCGCTCCGAAAAGATGGCTTACACGAGCTATTGGCGCATCCCATTTTTTCGAGGATGTCTCAGGCGAGGCGCTCCTTTCTGGAGGTCCGCGAATTAGACCAACGATTTCAACATCCCTATTTCCCGAGGATGTCTCAGGCGAAGCGCCCATCTTTAGCAAACTACATCTTAATATACGACCCCCAACTTCACGATTTGGCGAGGATGTCTCAGGCGAAACGCTTGCTTGTTTTCAACCCTTTCCTGGCATGAAGGGGAAGCGCGTGAAAGGGAAGAGTTGCGCAAAACCTTGCAACATCTTCGCGATCAAATGGAATACAGGCGTGCTCTCCGAACGCTCAGAAAGGATACGCATGGACACGCGCTTCCCGAACGCTCACAAGCATATTCCTGAGTCTCCTCCCCACTCTTCCGCATGAGGAGGACGGCAGAGACGACGACTGGGTAAAACGGGTGAGGAGAAGGAGGAGGAGGAGGAGGAGGAGGAGGAGGAGGAGGAGGAGGAGGAGGAGGAGGAGGAGGAGGAGGGCGGAGGCGGAGGCGGAGGCGGAGGGAGGCGGAGGCGGAGGCGGAGGCGGAAGCGGAGGCGGAGGCGGAGGCGGAGGCGGGGCGGAGGCGGAGGCGGAGGCGGAGGCGGAGGCGGAGCGGAGGGAGGCGGAGGCGGAGGCGGGGGCGGAGGCGGAGCGGAGGCGGAGGCGGAGGCGGAGGAGGAGGGCGGGAGGAGGCGGAGGCGGAGGCGGGAGCGGAGGCGGGGGCGAGGGCGGAGGAGGAGGCGGAGGCGGAGGCGGAGGCGGAGCGGAGGCGGAGGCGGAGGCGGAGGCGGAGGCGGAGGCGGAGGCGGAGGCGGAGGCGGAGGCGGAGGCGGGAGGCGGAGGCGGGAGGCGGAGGCGGAGGGCGGAGGCGGAGGCGGAGAGGCGGAGGCGGAGGCGGAGGCGGAGGCGGAGGAGGAGGAGGAGGAGGAGGAGGAGGAGGAGAGGAGGAGGAGGAGGAGGAGGAGGAGGGGAGAGGAGGCGGAGGCGGAGGAGGCGGAGGCGGAGGCGGAGGCGGCGGCGGCGGCGGAGGGCGGAGGCGGAGGCGGAGGCGGAGGCGGAGGCGA